GCCGTAATCGCCTTTGACCAAGGACTAACGCATTTGAAAGCAGCTTATCCCTTCCATGATGTATTCTTGGTATTTTACTAAATTTGTTTTCAGCATAAGTTGTTCTATTCTTCTTTTCTTCATCTACACATGGAGGATATTCAAAGTCCATTTTCAAAATTGATTCATATTCATATGCATATGCATGGCGCGATGTCTTCATGACATCATATAAGGATGTTTATTTATTTTTTTAAGTTTTTCAACGAGCTCTACATTTCTGGATGGTCAAATGTCTGAGGGACGGTTATTGAAAACGCTCTGACATGCGTGGATCCAATTCAAAATAAGTATTGTTTCAACTATCGCTCAAAAGACTTTGTCCAGTCATGTCTAGTAACCTCCAACTATAAGACTACTTATTGTACATGAGACAACGGTAACTTGTTCTTATTTCTGCTCATCCTCCTGCCTGCGGGGCTGGACCCGTGAAGATCCGGGGTATCCGTAAGAGGCGGCTAAAGGGATCGGGTGGTCATGTCATCGATTCCAATTGTGTGGAGCGATGCTCATGATATTAATCACTGGATTGTCTGGTCCAGAGTCGATTATTTACAGATCACCGACATGTAGCTGGAATATTGCTGAGTGCGGCATTAAACAACAAACCAACCAACCAACCAAGCCTGCGGGGCTGTGTTGTTTGTTGTTCAACCCGCACTCAGCAATAGTACAGCCACATGACGGCGGTCTGTATATAATCTGGCCTCGGCCAGGTGATCCAGTGATTGACATCATGAACATCGTTTCACGCAGTTGAGGTACGATGATATGAAGTCAAATAAGTCACTGAGCCTGACTACCCGATCCATTTAGTCGGCTCGTGCGACAAACATGGGTTGCTTGGGGCCCATATTTTTAACCGGAATCCCCACTGGCTCCCTCAATATTTTTTTATGTGATATAAGATCCTTCCTCTGTGCTTCTTTTGTATTTACAGCGAATATTAACTGAGCACCAGAACGTCAGAAGGTTGTATATCTGTTCCTGCAATAAATATTTCTGTCAGAATAAATGATAAAGTTCACGTTCAGTTGAAATATTTTGACAGCTGTGAGAATCTATTGAATATATTTGACTTGAGTGAAATATAACTTTAACGATAAGTGTATGAAAAACAAGATTTATTTCTTCATTTTCCACTCATAACTTTCAATTTGATCTGAACATTATTGAACGTGGATTATCCTGCTCAGACACATAAAGGATCCATGTCAAGAAAAGTATATGTGTATCGGATCTATTTTAACGTTCACGATAGATAAGTCAGTGCTTATATATATGAATACGTATGTTCTATCCCGACGTCGTGGATCGTTGCCGCCGTCAAGTAACGGAAGTGTTGTCGAGTTCAGCGTTAATCAAATCATAACAATTAATGTTGACTATTGAATCATTTTTCAATATACTTGTTTAAGCCCTCAGATATCTGCAGGTGGGGAGGTGGTTAAGCCTCGTGGTTAAAGTGTCAACTCGTTCTGCCTTAAGTGCTGGATCGATTCCCCACATACGCTAGGCTCATTTCTGGTGCCCCACGCCGTGATAATGCTGGAATATTGCTAAAAGTGGCATAAAAACTTACTCGTTCACTATTGAACAAGCATAAACAGGTATTATCTAACCATGTGTCAGCGGAAATTGCAAAGGAAATACTCTCTATTCCAAATCTACATAGTGAATTAAATGTGCACAATTTCATATTGGTATTCAACCTGTTGCTGTACATTCACGCATGCATATGTAATGTACACTGTCAGTACTTCAGGTTTACAAGGTACAGAACTTAATCGCGAATGTAAATCGAAGAGCTACGTACCAAAACATTTACATAAAATTGTAATTTATAATACTGATCTAAAGTTAGCAAGGACTACATTTGAACGTTCTTGTGTTGATTGTAGGGGCGGCTTTAGCTAATTCATGAATAATGTCAGACTGTATCGTATATCTGGCTAGCTGACGCTCAGAGTTAGTTGCAACTTCAATATCTGCACAGTTATTAGACTTTGCATGAAGCAAGGAGATATAGCTTTTGTCAGTGACAAAATCTATGTGGTTCCTTTTAACGTGTCAGAGAGAAGGGACCATTGCAATGACACTCAATAAAGTTACTGTGCATTATCCAATCAGTATTATGTATTGATGGACTATTGATTTCATGAGCACCCTAAAATACTGCTTGTCAAAAGAATACAATATTAAGGGGATAGTAAAATAAAACATGATGATTTACATAAAAGTGCCGGATTCGTCCACACAACCAATGCAACGTCCTCCACACAACTAATACAACGTCTTACACACAAACAATGCGACGCCCTCCGCACAACTAATACAACGTCTTACACACAAACAAAGCGAGGTCCTCCACACAACTAATACAACGTCTTACACACAAACAAAGCGACGTCCTCCACACAACTAATACAACGTCTTACACACAAATAATGCGACGTCCTCCACACAACTAATACAACGTCTTACACACAAACAATGCGACGCCCTCCGCACAACTAATACAACGTCTTACACACAAACAATGCGACGTTCTCCACACACTAATACAACGTCTTACACACAAACAATGCGACGTTCTCCACACACTAATACAACGTCTTACACACAAACAATGCGACGTCCTCCACACAACTAATACAACGTCTTACACACAAACAATGCGACGTTCTCAGCACAACTAATACAACGTCTTACACACAAACAATGCGACGTTCTCCACACAACTAATACAACGTCTTACACACAAACAATGCGACGTCCTCCACACAACTAATACAACGTCTTACACACAAACAATACGACGCCCCCCGCACAACAAGCGTTATGTCCTCCACACAACTAATACAACGTCTTACACACAAACAATGCGACGTCCTCCACACAACTAATACAACGTCTTACACACAAACAATGCGACGTTCTCCACACAACTAATACAACGTCTTACACACAAACAATACGACGTCCTCCACACAACTAATACAACGTCTTACACACAAACAATGCGACGTCCTCCACACAACTAATACAACGTCTTACACACAAATAATGCGACGTCCTCCACACAACTAATACAACGTCTTACACACAAACAATGCGACGCCCTCCGCACAACTAATACAACGTCTTACACACAAACAATGCGACGCCCTCCGCACAACTAATACAACGTCTTACACACAAACAATGCGACGTTCTCCACACAACTAATACAACGTCTTACACACAAACAATGCGACGCCCTCCGCACAACTAATACAACGTCTTACACACAAACAATGCGACGTTCTCCACACAACTAATACAACGTCTTACACACAAACAATGCGACGTTCTCCACACAACTAATACAACGTCTTACACACAAACAATGCGACGTCCTCCACACAACTAATACAACGTCTTACACACAAACAATGCGACGCCCTCCGCACAACTAATACAACGTCTTACACACAAACAATGCGACGCCCTCCGCACAACTAATACAACGTCTTACACACAAACAATGCGACGTTCTCCACACACTAATACAACGTCTTACACACAAACAATGCGACGTTCTCCACACAACTAATACAACGTCTTACACACAAACAATGCGACGTCCTCCACACAACTAATACAACGTCTTACACACAAACAATGCGACGTCCTCCACACAACTAATACAACGTCTTACACACAAACAATGCGACGTCCTCCGCACAACTAATACAACGTCTTACACACAAACAATGCGACGTTCTCCACAAACCTAATAGAACGTCTTACACACAAACAATACGACGCCCCCCGCACAACAAGCGTTATGTCCTCCACACAACTAATACAACGTCTTACACACAAACAATGCGACGTCCTCCGCACAACTAATACAACGTCTTACACACAAACAATGCGACGTTCTCCACACAACTAATACAACGTCTTACACACAAACAATGCGACGTCCTCCACACAACTAATACAACGTCTTACACACAAACAATGCGACGTCCTCCACACAACTAATACAACGTCTTACACACAAACAATGCGACGTCCTCCACACAACTAATACAACGTCTTACACACAAACAAAGCGACGTCCTCCACACAACTAATACAACGTCTTACACACAAACAATGCGACGTTCTCCGCACAACTAATACAACGTCTTACACACAAACAATGCGACGTCCTCCACACAACTAATACAACGTCTTACACACAAACAATGCGACGTCCTCCACACAACTAATACAACGTCTTACACACAAACAATACGACGCCCCCCGCACAACAAGCGTTATGTCCTCCACACAACTATTACAATTTCCTCCAAATAACCTATGCAATGAACTCCACACAACCAATTTAAATTTCCTCCACACACTCAGCGTTGTGTCTTCCACACAACCATTGCAAGTTCCCCCACACAACCAATGCAATGTCTTCCACACAACCAATTCAGTTTCCTCCAGACATTCAGTGCAATGAAAGTCCCTACTGACGTAGGCACATTGGCTCACATTTCATTTTCAATTGAAAAGTACAAATTAGATTTGATGCAATATAATTTGTATATATAGATTTCGAACCACGGTATATAACTTACAGATGTTAAATGATTAAAGGGTTTCATGGATATCGATTTGAGTTCAGTGAGTTAATATTCTTCACATCACATCAGAAATATTTCAGATTTGCAAACTATAAATTTCGTTAAGTTCGATAGGATTTTCAAGGCCCTGTATTATATAACGAACATTTTCAGACGCAATATCAGTATGATTCTCTACTCATAGCCCTTTTTTGCACCTTGTGATACAGGAGCAACTCCCCAGTTACAACTGCACGGTCCCCAGGCCTTCTCTGTGTTTCAAAGGAGAAAAAACATCTGAGCTTCGTTTGCTTCCAAACATTTCAGTGTTAGTCCATGTGTTGTTTTGTTTTTCAGACCGAACAGATCAGCTTCCTGTGTGTCCTTTTCATATTCATCATTGTCGGCAACAGCATGGTCATCCTGACCATCACGCTGACCAAGAACAGACGATCCAGGATGAACTTCTTCATTCTCAACTTAGCTATTGCAGGTAATTTAAAACAATCGTACTATACCAGAAATATGTCAGTTTCATTTTTTGTATGTCGGTATCTCTGTCCCTCTCTACCACAGCTCTTCTGTCTCTCCCTCGCATACGTACACACTTTATGCGTCCTCTTCTCTTCTCTCTCTCTCTATCTTTCTCTATCTCTCTCTCCAGCGATACACTCAATGTGTCTGTCTGTCTTAGATGACGATTGTAACCGTCACAACATACAGTTGTTGGTGGTATCAGAATAAAATTCGACAGAATAACATTCTAATCCAACTGAAAAGTGGCCTACCAGCTGACCTACAAGCGTATGAAAGGTGCATATGCTTTTTAGTATAATTCTTTACCACCGACCAATACATAGGTGCTGAGACACCTAAATGACATTAATCACATGAGAAGATTATCAGGCAATATTTGTGGCTATTTGTGGAGTCTGTATTGCATGATTTGACATTAGTGGCTGCGTTAATTTATCTGGGTCCTTATCGACATACTGACAGCTGTTCATATCGATGTTGATAATTGCATTCTGATCACTGAGACAGTCGGCTGTAAAGTACAGGATTGGGATCGCATCCAGTAATGGCCCATGAGATATAGGACTGATAGGATTAAGCTGGGATTAGGTCACGACCTGTCACCTGTACAAATGGTTTATGTAAGAAACGGAAATGGCTTGATCAGTATATTTACGTAAAATGTTGTTTCGAGGTGATTTCCATATTGAAACACAGAGGGTCACCCAGAACTATCTTGTGAAATCTGTAAATATCCACACAAGATCAATGAACAATCAAACAATTATATTGAAACACGCATTGTCAGGTTTGCAATACAAAAGGCAACACGATGGGTTAAATACGTGGCATAAACAACAAGTTACAAACCGCAGAATTAATGAAAGTGTACTTGCGAGAGTTCAGAACATTGTCACTGTTGATTGGCCTGTCTCCTTGCTTGAATCCAGGATAGTATTGGAAGATGACAGGAATTTGGTATTTCTAAATAAGTATCCAAGACGCAATTAGCAAGTAGATTGGAAACAAGTCAGGTTAATAAGGTCTCAAATCGCTGCCTTCTATAGGCCTTCACATCCAGAAACTTCTCAAACGATCAAAAACCCATGTTTATATGAGGGCTGGTCAAAAGGATCAACTATGGGCCATAACAAAGCGAACCAGTGAATGTTGTACATTGTTTGAGTAGTTCATTGCAAGGGTATTTGGTCTGTTGAGGCCGTTTGTATATTAGTGACAGCCAGTTGCATGTGACAGGGGTCCAAATGTACACATAAATCTAAAAGAAACGAGTTTTTGACTTTAGAGAAAAGTACTCTCGAAAACATTTATGACCGCATGTCACAAGTGTATGGGGATAGGTGCCTTATGTATTCCACTGTTAAACGTTGGGCAGCTGCGTTTAAGGCTAAGAGAAAAAACCTTGATGAAGACCCTAGGTCTGGACGTCCCTCAACTTCCATCAATGAAGATTCAATAAAGAAGAAAAACTTATACTGTCAGATTGACGTGTTACTATTGCTGAACTTGAGGAAGACACAGGTCTAAGCCATGGATCCATTGAAACTATTATCCATGAAAATTTACAGATGAATAAGAAATCTGCTCGTTGGGTGCCAAATTTTCTAAGTTCTGTTCTTAAAGAGAAAAGAACTGAAATGACCAGAGAAAATATAGAGCAAGTTGAGGAGGATTTCGTCAATTCAAAAAGAGATTAGTAACGGGTGATGAAACATGGGTTTACCACTATGATCCCGAGTCAAAACGTCAATCCATCGAGTGGGACCATTCCAGTTCTCTGGCACCAAAGAAATTCAAATCTTCAAGATCAGTGAAGAAAGTTATGACCACTGTATCCTGGGATGCAAAGGGTGTGATCCTTAAGGATTGCTCAGAAAGTCAAAAGACGATTACCGGTCCCTACTATGTTGATTTTCTACATCGGCTGAGAGATTCTATCAAAGAAAAACGGCGAGGAATGCTGACTGCTGGAGTTCCCCTCCTTCATGACAGTGCCTCTTCTAACATCTCTTGACTTGCAAAGGCTGCTGTCCGACAACGTGGGTTCGAAGAGCTTCCTCGCCCTTTATACTCACCAGACCTGGCCCGTAGCTTCCTGAACTGAAATAACACCTTCATGGAAAGGGCTATGACGACAACGATGACCACAAAGCTGCCGTGAATGTTTTTATTTTTAAGGGTAGCTTCAGAAAACCTGTTCCTGACTGGAATTGACGTCACTATTGATAAGGGAAGTGTATTGAAAATCAGGGATATTATGTTGAAAAATAAAATTAAAAACACTTTCACAATTGTTGATTTTGTTTGTTAGGTTTAGAACTTTTTGACCAGCAACCAGGTTGTATATACAACCAGGGTCAGATAACTCTAATCACAATTCAAAGTCACACAGAAACTCCCTGCCATCGACTGCAGTTTAAAGTTACGACGCCCTCCGCACAATTAGCGTTATGTCTTTCACACAAGCATTTCTGGTGTCCCCCGCAGGAGAGTATTGGAGAATATTGCTAAAAGCGGCGTAAAACCATACTCACTCACTCACTCACTCACTCACTCACTCACTCTTCCACACAACCATTGAAACTAAAACACCTTCCGAACCTAGTTTTATTTAATACGAGACACATTTGTGTATTACGCTCCTGTACAGTATTCCTCTCAAACGAGGAGAGCAATATACACAGAAATGGACATACCAAAAGCCGTGACTACTTTCTATCCCAATATCCATTCTTGCCTTTGTGTCTCCCTGGTGCCTTCAGAAATTCAGAAACTCACGTTAATTAAGCGTGTTAAAATGAGCGTTGCATTACAGTGCAATGTATCTAAGTACTCTAACATTACGTTAATGACACATTGTAGCAATAATAATATAGATATAGCACATTATCATAACATCATGTTGTCGCTGTTTATGAGCTTGTTCATTTTTCATTGGAAATGTCTCAACAGACGTTGTGTCATATGTATGATTTTCAGTAAACGCAAATGAAAATTAACCCACATATGGAGACAAAACAAGAATGAATTAGTGCAAGAACGTCTTTGACATGAGGGGCGGTCGGGTAGCCTAGTGGTTAAAGCGTTTGCTTGTCACATCGAAGACCCGGGTTCGATTACCGACATGGGTACAATGTGTGAAGCCCTTTTCTGGTGTCCCCTGTCTCCCCTTACTCACTCACTCACGCTTTGACATGAGGATTAGGTCCTTTTCAACACAAGGTTCCTGTCATAATTGCATCCAACAAAGAGAAACCTCTCTCAATGGAGGTTCAGGTCAAAACGATATTCCCAATCTAGAAGATATCAGAAATTGCTATCATACAACCTTGAGGGCTGGCCTTGGAGATAGCTACATGTCCCGGTGATATCTGCTGACCTTCTTTGATCCCCCTCAAAGATAATGAGATAAAAGTTTTTTTCATGTACAAGATGGTTAAGTTATGATAGGCTGGAATCATACAATGGAATCTGCTTTTAGCAGATATTTTTTTTATCATTATGGAAAGGGTTTTGTGGCTTTAAATTTCCTGCACAAGATGGTTAAGCTGGATTATTGTGAAGCCATATCTTCATTTGCGAAACCTTTGGCGTTTAGGTAACACCTTTCAGTACAGTAAACTACGGTTATAACGTACACGCTTATAACGAACTGACCGATATAACGAACTTATTTTAGTCCCGACCATTTGTTGTATAAATGCTGTTTATATGCTTATAACGAACTGCGGTTATTACGAACTAAAATTAGTGGTCCTTTCGAGTTCGTTATAACCGTAGTTGACTGTACTTGCATGGGCGTGCAAGACAAACATTGTGTTTTGCACAGTTGAACCTTATTTACATACTAGTACTGTAGATATTAACATTTCGTATCAATATGGTTCAAAATAACGTAGTTAATGTATGTCCACATAGAGCACATTTGTAATACTGATTTCACGCGTTCTAGGGCATAGTTGATTTACTACAGGCATATCATTGTTGACGTTGTGTCAAGTTTCAGGACATGGTTTAAGATATAGGAGACAATGTTTCTTCACATAAACATTGTTACGTATGAATTAAAGAGTCTATTTCATCAGTTCCCTAACACTCGTGACTGAATTCAATTAATTGCTGTATGTTGTACATCATTTTAAGGTCGCGTCAGTTGAAACACATTACCTACACCTGTAACGAGTGGTCCAATTGTCTGTAGCGCTACAGTTCTCGGTTGCCTCCCTTAACCGTCAAGGAACCGCTGATAATGGTTTGATTTGTTTCAATTATGGACCTTTGTCTGTAAGCACCATAACCTGGAGGGTAACACCAAAGTGGTAAACGTCGGCATTAAGGGGCTAAAACAAGGACTGGTCGGCTCGGAGTCCGTATACTATGTCTGAGTGGGGTTTTCATGCTAAACTGTGGCACCACACCACACCACACCACACCACACCACACCACACCACACCACATCACACCACACCACACAGGCACGCACGCACGCACGCACACACACACACACACTAAGGGTGAAACGATACACCGATATTCCGATGCATCGCGATACTTGACCCACGATACGATATACGATAAACGTGGGCCCATTTATCGATACGCCACGATACGGAACACAGATCTCAAGTACAGCGTTTCCTCGCTATTGTGCCATTCAATAAACCGCTAACTTTGTTATAGCGCGCTCTAACGCATGGCTCCCCAAAACGTACTTACATTTTAATAAGCTCAGGTTTTACACCGACAGATGTTTTCACCCATCTCATAAAACATTATCAGCTGATCACCGCAAGCACATAACACCGAAAATACCAGTCAGCAAATCCGATAAAAATGCCATTATTATACTATCTTTTTATTAAAACGTGTTCATTGTATATCTGGACTTGTGTTTGCAATATATTTTATTAATTTTATTCAAAATTTCATTTAATATTGTTTTCATTAGGTTATGTG